ATAAGCTGCTGATATCGAGGCAACTGGTTGTCAGAGTTCCTGCTGATTGGATTAGTCAGAAAAATAAGCCAATAAGTTCCAGTTTACTCTTTGACAGTCACCTGGTTACCACTCAAAGCTGTGCATCCTGTGAAATAGGTTGAATCCTCTAGTAAAAAACAAATATATAAGACTAATTTTACAGCAGTTCAGGAGGTTCGACAAGCATCTCCCTGAAATTAGTTTTTTGGACTTGGGATTTCTGGCTTGTTGGCTCTTGGCAGTAAGAGCTTCAGCTCTGCAGGAGTTGTGCAAAGTCTCTTCATTGGTTCGACAGCTTTAATGCCGAAAATAAATGTTAAAATGTGTGAATTCGGGACTGTTCTTGAGCTAAATAAAAAATTGTGAAATGGAGTGGTGGATGGACAGTTCAAACATTTAAATCAAATCAATCTTTTTCCAAACTGCATAGAAATCATTTTTTAGAGACTAGAAGTTACCATAGAAATTAATTGGTAGGTGATCTGCTGTAATCAGGCTTTCAGATTTGCATTACGTACATACCAGGACGTCCCTTGGAGGGAAACTCAGAAAGCAAAACAGCTAATAAAAGACCATGATCAGTAACAGCAGATTCAGGAGACTCTGAATAAAGATCATTATATTTAGAAAATATTGAAACATACTGTTTCTTGTGAGTGAGCCATTATGACACCTCATTATGCGGAACATATCATTGTCATGCTAAGAACCACAGCCCTCCATTTTGTAACAGCTATACAATGTTAATTCACTCACTCATTAAAAAGGACATTATGCTGTGGACACATTCCCAAATACTTCCGGATGTTATCTATGTCTGTGCGAATATCATAGTCATGTATGAGGGCTGTTCCAGATGTAGGCGGGAACAGACCTGTCAGGATAGACCTACAAGAGAAACAAAGGAAAACAAACCTTTAAATTTAGCAAAGCAAATAATAAAAACCTTGTGCTCTAAGAATTCTCCTCTGGTAGTGAAGGATGATTAGTGTACATGCAGACTGAATAAAACACCAGAGGTTGTCTGTTCAGTGGAGAAGATCTGCCATTGAGTATGTTTACCTTTCGCTTGTTTAAAGTAACTATAACAATGTGAGATTCTGAATGTGAATGAGAATCCTTACTATTTGTGTACATAAGGTAGGGCAAGCTAACTGATCATACTAATCAGGAAGCTTAATGTTATCGTAAGTTTAGTTTGGCTTCATGGGTTGAATCAGTTCAGTTGTTCCAGATTACTGTACAGTACTGTGTTACTACCTTTTCTACAATCGAGCAAAGAAACATGAACTGTAAATAGTTGTAGTGAACAGTAAATAAAATACAATCTCCTTTAAATGTAAAAACTGCCACCTAAATGGTAGTTTGGACATGAAAAATTGTATTTTTTTTTTTCATTTTTTGCATTTAAGATTCGCACAAACACTTTCATTGGTAAGCATTATGTATTCTATGATGGGGTCTATTTTATTTATAGACCACTGGGTGGCTTTCACTGGAATTTTGATAACTACTACTGCTGAAAAGGGATGAGATGTCTGGGTTAAAGGTTTTTAAGGATATATATATATATACTTACCTTTATTCAACATGTGCTGAAAGAAAGACAATATAAGCAACAATGTTGTTGCATATGCTTTATTTGATCATATAATGCTTATTTCATTATATTTTAGTTTTAAGACTCTAGAGAAGTAGATTTCACTAAACAATACCTAACCTTGAGTGAAGCCTCCTTAGCCTTTTTGTCTAATGGTACAAGTAACAGATCGGCTAAGAAGGAATGCTTTTCAATTTATTTCAAAAGGGAAAAAAAATCTACCTTTGGGAGTAAGGAAAATAAGAAAAGGTAAAAAAAAGACTTATGAGAACGAGGCAGACTGATAACCCTGACTAAGTTATGGCAATCCTGTTAGAAGAAAGGGGCCAATATTCCAGCCAACTGTTCTGAGACTCTTGTAGCAGGAGACTCAACACATTTGATCTGATGCTATTTAAAAGTTAGTATAAAGGAAATGTGAATATAGGTCTAACTTTAAGAAAGCAGAAAATATTCTGGCATGTAGCAAATTATAAGTGTGACGTTATAAGTTTGTAACCCGAAGCACTGAATAAAACATTCATATATATTTTTAAGACGAATATGGACTTTACTTCTTTTGACACAAATAATATGAGCTAAAATAGTCCATCTCACTGATTATAAAATCCAGCAGCCCAGTGTGTTAGCATGTGATGGAGTCCTTACTCTGTCCTTCCTCTTATTGTCCCCTGTTAGGTTTCATTCCAGTGCCTCAGAGCAGACGTCTTCCCTGCAGCCCTTAGTCCTGCATCGCTTGCTCTCTGTGTCACTCATACTTTCTGGGCCACTGCCTTTCATTTATTTTCTGTCATCCAAAACCCCAACCAACCTTTTTTAGCTATTGCAGCAATTAGATAACACCCACTGTCAGTTATAACAGCTGAATCTTTCTGAAGGATGTCCTCATGATAAGATCATTCTTTTAGCAGTAAACTCAGAATAAATATAGCGGCAAAAAAGTCAGCTCTTTATGTACAATTGGTACAAATACTGAGACGAGTGGGAAAAATACAATGAAATGATTAAATAAAACGTCTTACATTGTGGTTGTTTTTCCAGCTCCATTGTGGCCTAGAAATGATGTGATCTGATTCTCATAGAAGTCCACGCTCAAGCCGTCAACTGCCAGCTTCTTCCCGGTTTTGTAGATTTTGACAAGATTGCGAATTGAGACACCCACTTTTACATTGGGAGCTGGTCTCTCGAAATACCCTTTATAAAGACACAAACATATTTTCACACAAAGGAAAAAAAAAGAGAGAAAGAAATGTTCCAAAGAATCAGGGTACAAATAAGAATAGAAACCTTTTCAGTTGCTTCAAAACAAAAACATGAATATAGTCTGAAAACTTGCAAACAAAACGATAAACAATTATTTTTTTTTTTATGTACTCTAAAATACAATTATGAATATTTAAAACACAAAAAAAGCTTATTTTAGTGGATTTCATCCATCTTACCTCACAATTCATTATTTAGCTTTTTTAGGTTTTACTGTATATAAAAAAACTAATCAATTAGGTAAACTAAATGGGATTAAATATAAATAGAATATAAACTATCATATAAATTAATTAAAAAAAAAACTAAAAATGAAATAAATAATTCAATTAAACAATCAAATTAATCAAAACAATCCATGAGAAAATCAATATTTACATGTATGAAAGAATACTAAAAAATGGCGTAATACTGAAAATAAATTAAAACTGATAAATTAAAGCACAATAGGCAAAAGAGTTGTTAACAGGTCAGCATTCTTTTCTGCTTTTACACCAATTTTTTTTTTACATAAAATAAAACTAATATAACATACGTAATAAAAAAACAAACAAAAAAAACATGAAAATTAAATAAGAAAAAATATATAGATAAACAATAACCAAATGAAAAGGGAAATGTTTTTGGAAGATAGGACTGTTTATATCAATTACATCAGTGTTTTAACCAATGTTTTTATAATATTGTAAACCATCAAAAACTTTTTTTTTTTCAACTCAGACACCTAATTATGCACTCTACTCAGTTTCTAAGATTAAAAAGTCTTTAAAATGCACATTTGATCCAAAACACACACAGTAACACAAACAAACAGAAATAAACTAAACAAAAAAAACTCAACTTGTTACTCAGAATGTTAATTGGATTTCTGTTCCCGTTTTTAGCAGCTTCCCTAATGTGAAACTTTTGTCTCTTCCCCTTAAAGCACAAAGCTTTATTATACCCAGATGTGACAAATTAGGTGCTAATGTTTGTTCCTGACCCTCCTCCAACCCACCTCCAGATATTATCAGAACTGTATTCCCCCCAGAATTTAAAGAGGGGGAAGAGAACCTGACAGTTGCACACCAAAAAGTGAGAGCAGAAGCGATATCAACATTTACCGCTGTAAGCCTCAGAGTCTTTTGGCAGATCAGGGTGATTTTCTGTTGCTGCTTTCATCTGGCACCAATAAGATGAAGTAAATGGGAAATACCATGGCTTAGGAATCCCGAATTGGCCTGTGATTATAAAGGAAAGCAGTTATAACAATTTCATACTTGGTGTATTAGGAGAAAACAATAAGGAATGTAAAAAGGAAACAAAAAATAATCAGTGCATGGAAAATCCAAAGTAGTATTATTAAAAAGGTTGTTTTTTTTTTTAAGAAAAAAATTTCATTAAAACATAATTTCTATCCAAAAGAAGCATTAATGCTAAGAAGGTAATCTTCATACCTGAAAGGCAACTCAAAGGGTAAAATTCATGATTTTAATTAAACTTTTATAAACATTTATACATCCTACATGTTTTCTTGTGCCTTCAAAACATTCTTTAACCTCTTGGAGCAACCAAGCCGAAGCCTTGATTTGATATTGTCAAAATCATAAGTGGTTATATGCAAAACACATGGCTTGATTTATCTTTTTTTTTCCCTCTGATTTTTCAGGAGAGTATGTGCTGATGTTTGCTGCATTTTTTAAAACAAAATTTAAAAGAAAAACAAACATATCATATGCTCCTTATAAGAAATATAACTTAGCTTTGTATAATCTTTAATGTTAAACAAGGGCGTAGGTTTGATTTCCACTTTGGTAGGGACACTATTGGTCCTAAGTTTCATCAATGTCATTTTACCTATAAAATATGCATGCTTTTTTTATGCTTGACGTGAGCATCAGGGTCCATTTTGTTTAAAGAGAAAAGCAACTTTTCTTGCTACATTTATACAAATCTTATAAGCACTACACACACTAAATGTTGTTTATCAATGTTTGAAGCATCATTGGCTCTGATGAATGTAGAATTAGGACTTTTTTCCACTTTGGAAAGGTTTGCATTTAAACTTACCAGTGACTAAGACAGAAGGTAAGTATGCGCCAATTTAACCAAATATAGTCTAAATATTCCGGTTATATGTGGATTTATCCTGTATTTTCTTTTGAAGATATATAATTGCACAAAGGTAAACAGGTGAAACACACTCTTATTTTTTAAATGATTTCTCTGTATCATCAACCACCGCAAAATAACACATTCAAGGAACGGCAAATACATTTATTGTATTTACATTTAGTGGCATCATCTACAAAACACAACACTAAGAATGAGGCTAAATTTATTCCAATATAAAATCACTTTTAACCACTATTAAAAGAAAATATAACATCATCTTGTCTGTAATGTAATAATATCCAAAATAAACAGCCAGATTCAAGCATTTTTACCAAACACTAATGTTTGTACTAATTAACTTATGGACTGTGTGAAAATCTATATAAAATAAAATCTATGTAAATAGTGTTCCTCTGTTTGTTATTGGCTTTATCCTATTTTTAACAGTAGAAATAGTCAAAGAAATAGCAACATTATGTGGAACAATAATCATGCTTTCTAAACAAAAAATATCAGATGTTAAGGTGCCATCTCGTGTTGTTATACCTTATAAAAGAAATAACACCTGCTATTTATAGCTGAACTGCCTCAAAAGGTTGTCATAAAATGAAAACAGTAAAAAGCAATGAATTATTGTTAAAAGGGAAACCCTCACATTTTCTTTTTCAGTCGCCTGTTTTAGTGTAAATAAAATTAAGTTTTTTTTTCATTAGGACTAGTTCCGTAGCCTAATACTAATTGAAGAAAGTAGCGTGAATAAAATTCTTATTTCATGCTCCAAGCACGCACACACAAATACGGACTAGAAAACAGCCAATCAGGAAGAGAGAAGGCGGAACTTGAGGCAGAACAACCAATGAGAGTGGAGTTAAACAGCACAGTTACTGACTTTAAGGGACAAGAAAGACCGGGCAGCACTCAGACGGAGCGGCAGCAGCAGCTCCTAAGCTGCGGAGCTGCGAGAGAAAAAGAATTGGCTGTGATAACACACAGCGTGTAATTTATAAACATGTTATTCAAATGGAATTATTGGTAGGGACAATAGGTCGGTCCAAAATTTTGGTAGGGACATGTCCCTATGGTCCCTATCCAAACCTACGCCCATGATGTTAAAGTTTAGTAAGGCAGATTTTTTTAAAGGCAAGATGGCTAAACACACTGAAAAAGCCTTGTAGCATAGTGACCTTTTGTCGTGTTGATTTCTGTTCCTGAGTCAGGTCAGCTGCTCAGCTGGATATATGCTGCACAATGCGTTGTTCTATTTGCACTCATAAGTCAAAAGTTTTAATCTTAAATTGGGAAAAATCTGCTGTCGCAACCTCTTGAATCCAGAATAATGACCCACCAAGTCAACTCTGATCTCCAAATGATTCTCATTAAATTTGCCATGTTTATTTTAACGTCCTGTCTCGGGCCATAAACATGTTGCTGCAGTGCATAGAAATTCAGCTAGTTTTGATATTTTTAGTTAGATTGGTCACTGAGCAGGTCAGATAAATAAAACCACTTTTCTCACAGGCAACAAGATTACATTGTATACTGTGAACTTTAAATATCTTTTAATGGCATGAGAAAACATTAGATCTCATCTCTTAGCATAATAGAATGACTTCTTATTTAAAGGGCTTATAGTACAGTACAATTTGACATCACATTTTAACATGCAAATTTTTTTCTAAAAATATTGAAAGCACGCAAAAACTTCAATAGAAAATCCAATAATTATTTTAGATGTGACTTAAATGATTACCTGGAAAGACATTTTCAATGTACCAGGTTAGCAACCAGTATAGGACAGCATCAGCGAGCATCATGACGAGGGAGACAATAAAGGTGTAGGGATCCCCCTCCTGAGGGCTTTTGCCGATGTTGTGCCACTGTATACCGATGCCTTGCTCCTCATACTTGGAAAAGTTCTCACACCCATAGCCAAAGGCAACACATGACAGTAAACTCTGTGAAGATAAATGAAAAGCAACAACAAAAATTGCATAAAGCATAATTGCTTCAATATCATAATAAATGTGTACCTTTCTTTTTCTTGTTTAAATTACATTAAAACATAACCGTTTGAGTGTTTTATGGCAGAGGACTTTAACTGAGACACAAACACAAAGCATTGCATAATTGCAATTGTAATTTTAAGTGTATTGAAAGTTTTATCAGCGTTGGTTTGTGTATTTTGAAAATAACTAAAACAGTTATGGAGGTATTTTGCTGGCATTTTTTAAGGAAAAATAAAATTATTATGTAAAATTATGGTGATGAGCTAGATAATAATCCAGATACAGTAATTTCTTAAAGTATTCTTTAAAATGATTTGGCAGAACAATCAATTCTCCACTAAACCCAGTGAGTGGCAGTAGTAAATATTAACAATTTCAGCATTGGACCCCCCAAAAAAGTCCAGAAGTAATATAATGAAGAGAGAAAATACAAAAAATACAAGAAGATGGAGCCATGAAGTCTCTATCTGCTGATCAAAGAAGAATGCAGAGCTAATGAAGAAGTTGAGAACACCAGAGGCCACAGACACACACCCTCCCTTACTTGAACTTATTAAAGGATTTTAAGGAAATTCTTACCAAAGGGGCTCCTCATGTCAATGAACGATTTATTAAAATTCCATAATGATCCAAATGATGTGTGAGTTTTAGCTATAGGTGTAATTCACAATATGGGGCAACATTTGCTGTTTGGCAGAGGTCAGCGATCTCCAGGTGTTCTGCTATTTTTTTCTTAGATGTAATAAAGTGTAGCATTTTTATCCAGCCTGTTTGTGCAATGGTTGGCAGTATGAGCTTTTCAATGTGTGTCTTTCACAGAGTTACACATCTAGCTATGGATGTTTTTGAAAATACTGAAATTTGATCAGAAGGGTTGGATAACATCTGAGAACAGTAAAATTTAATTATCTCTAAAGATCTGAAACATAACACCATGTTACTTCACTGTAGCTGTGGCTGTGCATCATAGGTCGGGTTCATGCAGGAGGTCAAAGCTCTGCATCAGTCCCATTTTCTGCAGCCTCTCACAGGACTGGCAACAACTCAAATCAGCTGTCCATCCATACATCCATCCACTTTCCATTAGGCTTACCCTAAGCAGGGTCAAGAGGGATGCTGATACCTATCTTCAGCTGTCTACTGGCATGTACCCTGGGTGTACCCCTGGACAGGTTGCCATTCCATCGCAGGGCAACACAGAGAAACACAGGCCATTCATGGCAAACTGCCATTCATGCAAAGACTCACGTCAAAGAGAATTTAGTGAAGCCAATTAACTTAACAGTCATGTTTTTGGACTGTGGGAGAAGGCCGGAGTACCCGGAGAAAACCATGCATGCTCAAGGAGTACATACAAACTCCATGCAGAAAGAAAACCAGGAACCTTCTTTCTGCTTGGCAGCAGCGGTACCTACTGCTAGCCTCGTGAGACCATCCTGATCTTGCTAGCTTTCAAGATTTCACTCGCTAATCAGTCTGGAGACTCTCCGTTGAAGAAAATTTGGAGCCATTCACCAAACGAACGTCCAATCAGCGTTGGCTTTGAGGCGGGTTGAGGTGTGACGCAACGAGAAGCACGACAGTTCGGTCTAAAGAACATGGCGGCTTCAGCCGATGAAACTAGCATTCGCAAGGCTATCAAGCAAGTTTTATCGGAATTACACTGTATTTCTTCACTGAAAGAAGAGCAAAACACTGCTCTGAAGGCTTTTCTCAGAGGAAAAGATGTTTTTGCTCTTCTCCCGACTGGTTTCAGCAAGAGTTTGATCTATCAATTGGCTCCTCTTCATCGTCGCTCTGTTAGGTCATATGCTTCGTTGATCTGATTGGTTTATTTGGCCCGTCTATCACCAACATAGGCCAATCAGCTAACCAGTATTTTCGCCCCTTCCCAAAATTAATTCTACAGAAGGTTTCCAAATGGATATGCGGAGCAAATCCATCTGGCGGAGTCAGGTTAACCTACTGCTCCACTGAGCACAAATCAGCTGTCCCATCCCTACAAAACAGCCATACCCACAGCATGAAGAAGCCACCACCACCATTTTTTACTCTGTGGATGGTGTGTTTAGGGTGATGTGTACTGTAGTGTTACTATTTTCATTACACAGTGCTTTGATTGATTGATTGATTGATTGATTGATTGATTGATTGATTGATTGATTGACTTTATTGTTCTCACAGTGGAAAAATGAACTCGTTACATTAGCTCAAATAGTCAAAGGAGAAGAATGTGCCAAAGGAAGAAAAAGGAGCATACATATATGACAGCATTTTTTAAAATCAAATATAAGTTAAAGGTCTAACTTTGGTCATATAGCCATAGCAATCGATTTCAAATGGATGCTGGGTTCAGAGTACAAAGTAGCTCCTTGTTAACTTTAAATTTGACTTCTTCCATAGAGGTTAGTGAACAGATATGCATGTTAACATGGGACTCAGTCTGCTTCTCTGATTAGTGTTCTTATTGCTTAGATCTTGGCCAGTCAGTTTAGGTTGGTTTCACAAATATGCATTAGTCTTTTTTATTGCATCACAGGTAAAAACGTGCTTTCTACTGTATATATGTGCTTTATACTGTATATATATATGTGCTTTATAATATATATATATATATATATATATATATATATATATATATATATATATATATATAAGAAAAGAAGAAAGCTTGATTAACCATTTCTGATAACTAAATTTAGGTGAGGCATTGAAATACTGTTACCACCCGACAAGACGGACACCCAAATCCATCTGCTGCAAACAAAAATCTGTTGGATTTTTCATACAGCAGGAAATTGCAAATGATGCTTTGCCCGTGTGAGACATCATCTGCCATGGCCCCTCGTTCCACATTGCCATGTTGCCCGCCAGCTGTTTCATCACACCTCATTTGCTCACAGCATTTATACTCCTGCAGAAGTGTTTGCTGAAGCTTGAGAGACGAATCATCATGGATAGCTGAGGATACACAACTACACAGAGATAGAGATAGAAAGCGGGAGAGAGAAGCTCAGTGGTTGTGGCCAAACCTCTACCCTCCCTGGCTCCTAACCCTACTGGCAGCATCATGTGCTGCCCTCCGCTGCCCATCTGCCAATCAGTCAGCAGATGAGGGCTGACAGCAGGGCCAATGGGCGCCCATCCTTGACCTCTGAATGAACGGCTGACATAACAACAAGAGCCCAATCCTTTTGGCTGTTTAGAAAAGGGCACGAGTTGGGAGGCAGACAAAACAAGCCCCCTCTTATTGAACACATGTCAAACTGGAGATTTAGACATCATTCAGCTGGCTTTGGACAAAATCCATTGTTAAGAGGAAGAGTAATCAAGGTGACTGCTCTTTTTGTACCCAGACGTTTTCGACAAGCATCGCTGGAAAGACAAAGATCCCAGCAGTGATAAATACCATTCTGTTTGAAGAGGCTTTCCTTACAAAGTCCTGTACATATTAGATTAAATGTAAATATCAGCCAACATTTCAAAGATTAAATATTTTGAAGACCAGAGGAGAAAAATACTACACTTCTTAAATTTCAAACCTTAACAGATAATTGACAATTACAACATTTCCGGTATTTTCCTATTAAATCTGAAAATTAGTCACCAGTTTTTTTTTCAGTGCTTTTGAACATAGTTTAAAAAGTTCAAATCACTTTTACTTAAAAGCAGGTTGTTGGATTCCCTTTTTCACATTGTCATGTTACAACCATTTAACCTTTGTCCATTTAATTTGAACAACAATGTCACAGACAATTACAAAGTAAATGTAAGAGTAAGGAGGATGGACTGGACATATGCATTTTGCAAAACTCCTCATGAAAATACAGAAAATGGAAATTTGGGGGATGTATTTGTATTCAGTTACGCTATCTCCTCGTCCGACCCTGTAATTTAGTGAAAGGTTGGAGGTCAGAGTAAAAAAATATGCACTCCCAGGAGAAGGGGGGGTCTCTCCAGTGGCTGGAAGTTGGCTGCCATTCGGCTGCCGTTTGACTGGTAAGGGTCATATTAACTGGCTGCTACTGTATAGGACAAAAAAAAATATCTGCAAAAATTAATCTTAGCACAGATTCACAACTGGGTTTCAATCTAGACATTTTAGCCCATGTTTTTGCCTCGATATAAACCATTTCAGTTGTATGTTTAGTAAGGTTGGGCAGGCCAGGCAGTTCCTATTTTTGGTTATTTGCAAAAAAATTATTCTTAATCTCCAGGTACTTGTACGGTACTCATTTTCTTCCAATAATCCAGGACCTTGTCGCTGGGGCAGCGACCACCTCCAGCTGACAAAACCTCTAGCTGACAACCCCAGAACCAGATCCAGATCCAACTATTAACTTACAGCCAGGTAGGTTTTTCTTTTTTTCGCAAAACATTATTGTAAAGAAATACATATATTGGTTTGACATTTAAATTAAATAAGATCCGAGCATATTTTCTCCTTAATTTACCTTCCAGTATTTATGAATTGTTGTGTTGTCACACCTTTATATTTTCATGTGTATTATTGTTCATGTTGTAGGATTATTGTAGATTATATTGGTCTAACACTTTGTTAAAATATTTTGAAGCTTAACAAATCAAAGAGTAAATGAAATTCAAAACTTTATTTTTAGAGCCACTGTTTTTTTTAACTATGTTGTAGACATAGTGTTCTGTTAAAAGCTCAAAGTTGACATAAACATCAGCATTCAACAACATAAAGTTTATGGCAATGCAAAGCTGTAGTCTTATCTGTTAACATTTTTGCCTCTGCCCTGTATTTTTCAGAACAAATGCTGAAACAATGCCAAACTCAACCTAACTGACAGTGACAATAACCTTGTCCTGGAGGGTTTTTCTTTCTAGTGTAGATTCCAATGTATGCCAGCGGACTCAAAGCTACTGCTAACAAGCAAAGATCAATTAATTGATTTCACTGCAAAGCCTTACAAGTTCCACATTATATTTTGGAAGCTTAGCAATTTTCAGGATTTTCCTGGGCTTAATGGCTAATTGAAAATGTCTCTGGTTATCCAGCACAAAGGAAGTGTAGTCCCCCTCCTATTTCTACAGTATCTCATTACAAAAAGAAAGGAAGTGGTCAAAGCACAGCATACTGTTCCCGGCACACAGGTGAAAACAGTCCCCACAAATTCTGATTATCTTTGGGAAACAAAACAACATTCTACAAAGATTAAATCACTCAGCATCAAAGTCATTGTGTTTGTATGTTGTTTTATCTGAGTTTAATATAAAATAAAAGAGTAACTGATAACACAAAGACAGGCTTTCTAGATGCTTAATCAAAGTATTACTGCTTTTCTTTCTAACACTGAACCAGCGGCTCTGGAGTTTAAAATCTGGTTCTAGTCTCTAATAAACTCTAAGCTATTATAGAATAAAATTCTGACTTTCTATGAGTTGGGATCTTTTATTATATGCATATTCCTACATAATCATAAAAAAATCAGCACAAATGCATACTTTGTTGGGAAAAACCAAAGGCTTGCTATTTTGAACTGAACATTAAGACATCAAGTATTCTGCTCCTCCTTTGCGGAATTACCTCTAAAATAAGCTGAATTTTAAAGATCTTGTGTCACAGAGTGTGTTAGATCAAATTAAAACAATGTAAATGCTGCCCAGATCACGTATTACCTTTTACTTTTATAACCAACCGTTTGTAACTTTAAAAAAAAAACTTTATATGTGTGAACTTTCTATGTTTGCAGTGGATTTGTTTTAAGCAGTGGTCATCTTGGCTAGGGCCTCTTCGTTTAATCCCCTTTAAATCTCTTTTCTGGTGACAAAAAAATCTCTAAAATCAATTCTTAAACTGAGAACAAGAGCCGCACTGCAAAAATTATCTTAAAAAATTTAAAAAACATTCTTCAATTAAGTGTATTTAACCTTAATTTGAGTGGGTAAATTATTCCATTGGCATTATCTGCCAATGGAATGAGTATGATTAGCCTTAAAATAAGATAATTAGATATTATGCACATGAAATAAGAGACTCCAGTTGTTTTTTCTAATTTTAAATCTGAAGTGTCTCGTCTCATTTACCTCCTCAATTCAAGAAAAGAATTATTACAATTTTTTGAAGTGCAAATTTCTCACAAATATACAAGGGAGTCAGAAAAGAGCAGACTTTCTTACCTCTGCCTATGTGTTGCAGTTGCTCATTTAGGAAATCAAGAAGGGCAATAAGAAGAGAAGAGGCGTCTAGCTGTGTTTGTAAATGGCTGATGCTGCTAGCTACATGTGGCTTCATTTTCAATGGTGTGTATGTTTGCCAACAGTCCCATAAAACACAGAAAATTCCTTTATCTATTAGGTCAATGTTGCAACCTGTATTAAACCTTTATTAGTTTAGGGCTCTAGTTTAGCTGACAGACCGGCTAATGAGATAATCAGGGAAGCAGCCAAGAGGCCAAAGGTAACTGCAGAAGATGAAGAGACCTGCAAAGCTGGTGAGAGTATCTCAGAACTTTTGGAAGTATACCTACCACTATATGGCTTTTAAGGAGGCTTGACAGCAAAGCCCCTGCTGAAAGAAAGTGTCTTATTCTCCACAAGCCATTTAAGAAAACTTTCAAATATTGTAAAAGAAAGTGTACTGGTGAGAAAACACCTAAAGTAAACTTTGTAGTCTACATTCAAAACTGTTCAAATTTATGGGCTGTGTCTTCAAAGGACGTGCTGGACAGGACTGGACCTGGACTGGATCCTTTGAAGTCCTTGAAAATAAGGAGACCGGAAGAGTTTTGGCTGTGAATTCAAACAGGTCTACCCTTCTGCGGCTTTTACTGCCGTACGCTCTGTCGCTTAGCAACCATGACATGTTTCTTTTTCATAATTTTTTTCTTTTTTTTTTATTGTAAAGTGAACAAAGACACTCATGTGAATACAGAGTGGAATAAAGGTGACAACCACCGGGAGCATGAACAAATAAAAGCAAATGCAATGATAGAAACCGTAATCAGTTAGATAACATAATGCTGTCATCTCTCTATCATCTCGGATGTTGCTGCTATTTTCAAATATCCATTACTGTAAAAATGTCCCCAGGTGTATGTTGGTTATTTATTCTCCAGGTTCACAGTTTTGTATTGTTAAAACACTTTACAGTACAGTATTTTATTGTATAAATTTTAACTCTTCCCTATTAAGTTATTCATACACATTTTTCTAAGGTGTACATTTGTGTGACCATTTTCAATAATCATTTTGCTGCTGTAAATTTGCCCATTGTGGAACAATAAAGGGATTTTCTATTCTATTCTATAAAAGGGGTAGAAAGATATAAATAAATCTAAGCATTGTCTATATTATACATATATCTGCAAAATCTCTAATATTCTAATATTAAGCAAATTGTGCAAAACAGCAATAAAAAAATAAAAATCCTATCAGATTTATATTCCCCACACTGCAGATATATTAGAATCTGTCCTTAAATTACAGCCAAACCCATAAACACATTAACAAATAAAAACCTTTCGATAAATCAAACATTATCCGCCACATATCTGACTCAGTAACCATTAAAACAACTATTTTCATTCATTTCAGACGGAACTAGTCACAGATTTGGAATATATTAAGCGAAACTTCCAATATTCACCACTGTTCGGCAGCAAGTACAATTTCCTCTGATCACGGAGCAGCCTCCTTGCTTGGTCTCGCAATGAATTCTGGGATATCCAAGGATACCGAGGATACATCCGATCCATCCTTCAAATCGGGCAAAAGAAGGACGCATTTGTAGGCTGCATAACGAGGAATCTTCGAATCCGACGCGACCTCGGCGCCATGCTATGATGTAATAGGCCTTCAAATCTGGCCTTCTGAGGACGCAGCCCATGAATTTGAACAGAGCCCAAGTTTGCATACAATGAGGAAAATAAGTATTGAACACCATGCTATTTAGCAGCTAACGACTTCAAACAGGTGCATCTAATTAAGGATAATAAATGGAGGGGAGGTGGGTTTGTTAAAGGGAGAGTTGTACTTATTTGCAGCTGCATCATACAGATAAATAGTTTAAAAATCATATATTGTGATTTCTGGATTTAATTTTTTTTAGGTTATTTCTCCCACAGTGGACATGCACCTATGATCATAATTTCAGACCCCTCCATGATTTCAAAGTGGAAGAACTTACAAAATAGCAGGGTGTTCAAATACTTAAGTTCCTCACTGTACACAAAAATATTTCTGCATCCCGATAGGGATAGAGAAGCTGGCAAAACTTAAAAATTGCAAGAAAAGGTTCATCCAATATAACTGATTTGAAGCTGTTTTACAAAACAGTCTGCCATTGAGTAAAGTTGGTAGAGATGTAGCCTATATGCAGTATAAGGTAGTTGTGCAAATTTGTTGAATACAACCATACACCCCACTTTTTAGGTGTCGATGCTTTAAAAAGAAAAAAAAACAACTTGTATCATTCTTTACCTCATAACTATTTATAATAAAAAATATAAATATATCATATCTCTCTTGTCTAGTGTAGTAAGAGGAATATATAAACATCTTGAGTAAAGAAATTTTGAGCGGGCCTAACAGATAACATGTTTTTTTTTAACTTTTTTAAGAAAGCATTGGCACATATTGCAATCAAGAATCCAGATTTCTCATCCTAGTGTCCGCAAGAGGCATTGGGAAGACAAATGATACCAGAACCACATTAAAGGTCACACAGAAAGGCTACACTGAAAGTTGAGCAATGGTACACTGTTTATCTTTATCACTCAGAAACAGGAGAAAATACGAAAAAATCTTCACTGTGCGAGCCTGCTTTTCTATTCATGCAGCCCTTTCATGAGAATTCTCACGTGAAAATATGCCAGAACAAACAAACCATAAAAAAATGTATGAGGACATCATGAATACAAAAAGCATTTGCTACAAGCAGCTGCATTGTCCTTTAATGTTAACACAATGCTTAATTCATTTGGAAGGCTTCACAGATCCAATTTTACTATCTGCTGGCTTGCAAAAACAATAACAAATCTGAGATAGACATTACTGGGGCTAGAGATGAACGCACTTCCTTTTATTACAGAATAGATCTTTATTAAAAGGAGAGTGGATAGACATAGAATGCACAGCTGTCACCTACAAATTTTGAGTTAAAGAGAAAAAATATAACCTTACAGGAAGACTGAATACATTTTTTCTTATATATAATGAAAGCATGGAGAGATACAAAAAAAGAACAATGTAAAAGGTAAAGATGGACTTACCACAGCCACCTTGGCCCCGAAACCCATAACGTCCCTCCAGGCATAGCAGAGGCTGTGTGGCAGGTAGAGGAGAAAGAAGATGAGGCCGCCACATGCCGCCGCTAAATTTGCTTTAGAGAAGAAGACGCTAATGAGGAAGCACTGGGAGATGGTGGCCAGACAGAACACCAGCAGGAACACAAAGATTACTGAGGGGTCGCTGTACTGCAGGACTTTTCCGTACTGTGTTTATAAAGGGTTTGGTGAAAAAGACAAAAAAAGCCGTTAGTTTCAAAAAAATGTCAAACGGATGAAATCAAAACAGGCATGCAAGTGAGAGGATGATCATCATTGGAGATTCATTTTAGAAACCCACAAGAAAAGTAGAAAAGAACTGAAATGTCTCTCAATCAAACAGATTTCCTTCTAGCTGTGCCAGATGCTTTCATAAGCTTAGCCTGACACACCGTATATATGTTCTGATACGCATCCTTTCAATTTAATTTCTAGTAAATTTTTCAAACAATTCAAGGAAATCAAGAATGAATGGAGACGTTGCAGTCACAACACATTTCCGCAGTAATATTGCATTTGGAGAACAGGCAGAGTAAAAGTGTTTTTAGATAACAGATATATCTATATGGCTATACATACTTATAACCATGATACACAAACATGAAATTTACTTCTTAAAGGGCATATATCATTGTACTTTAGAAAAATAACAACAAAATAGGTCATTTTAAAGTGCACTTTCCTGAAACTAAGCTTTTTGAATCGATCCATGCATAAAAAAAAAGGTTGTTATTTTAGAGAGAAGTTTATCTAGTTTCTGATTACAGAAATTACAGAATGTAGACTTTTCTAGTAATAAAATAAAGGTTAATGGAGTATATAAATTAATTATTTGGAGAGACAAATTTATGAAAATTTAAAAAATCCTCTATACAGGAAGTGTGGGTGAGCTATGTGATCGTAAACAGTTGGAAAGGATGGATCACTATCTATAATAAATGCATTTTGATCTAGGATTAGGAAACAAATGTAGTCTTAAATGTAAGGTACACCACCTTAAAGCTGAGGGAAGATGCAGCAACAGCTTAAGCCGCTGTCAAAACTGTCAACTTGAGTAGATTAAATAGCCGGATCATCAAAGTAGCTGCATGTTTTTTTTACGTGCATACAATCAATTTAAAAAGAAAATGTATTATTTTATTAGTTTTCTTAAGATGCATGCTCTTTTTCTGTGTCTCAGCCAAATGAAATCAGATGTCTAATTATCCTAGCTCCCCTTCCAGTCTTGGAGTATAACGCATTAGCTTGAGGTGAACGGAGTGAAGATACCTTCGAGCATTCCAGTTTCCCCCTTACAACACCCAGTGAAAAAAATAACAGGTGTATGACTGATAAAACGTACTTGAACTGTTAAAGTAGGAAAGTTTGAATATTGCTTATTAGAGTTGCAATAAGCAAACGGTAGATATGAAGGTGTTGTCATTAATCGTATTTCCTACTTTCAGAGGCGCTTCAGCTGAAAATTCTGAGTTGGAGGGGGAAAAAAAGTCCAAATGGGATGCAGTGTGAAAAGGATGATGTGGTGTTAAAGTCAATGCAGGAATGACATTTTGAGATCTTTATCATGATGTAGTATCACAGTTTGTTATGAACAACAAATCATGAAGAGATTAGCTAGAGAAAGTGATAACTTTGTTATTATGGGGGCAAAAAAGACAGAGAATCGTCAGAGTTATTGCCTTTGCGCAGCATTAACCACAATGGGGAGAAATGTAGCGACTTTTGAAACATCTACTTGAATGATGCCAGAATTTTGGTGAAACACATTTTGTCAGCATCTATCAATAAACCAGTGAAGGACAGACTTCTCTCCATTCTGTTCATATGATGTTAGAAGTTATTTTCTGTCTTGAAGCTATAACACTCATTTCTATCACCTTCTCCCTCTTCCCTTGACAAATAACTATATAAGTCTTTTTCTGATGTCACATTAAAGTTTGAAACTATGTTTTCACAAGTTTTAGTTTTGCATTTGAAAAGAAAGAGCTCCCTCTTACAGCTAAATTCTCCGCTTTGTTGCACTTCTCTTTATTCTTTCAGTCTTTTTCCCCACTTATTTCTAAAATTCCAGAAATGAAATGTTCCTTTGTCAACAGTGCCACAGAGGTTTTTTTTTTTCTTTCATAAACGACATAATTTTACCATTTATCAAAACCAGAAAGAGGCCTGCAAACAAAAGAACACTACCTAGATTCAAATCTGATGTAGGTTCAATGGTGTTTTGAGGATGCAATTTAGAGCCCAGTTTCAGAAAACTGGGTTTGCCTTATGGGCCAAGGATTTTACAGTAGGACAATGATACCAAACATACTTAAAAAAAAAAAACACCAAGAAAAGGACAAATATAAAGTGTTGGTGAGCTATGAAGTAGCAATGAGACTGAACCTAAATACCATTGAAAAGCTGTGCAAAGATCTTAAAATTGCTGTCAGGAAAAGGCACCAATCAAATATGATAGAGCCAGAGCAGTTTGCAAAAGAAGGGTAGTTTAAAAATCCAGGGGATATATGTAAGAAGCTTGCTGAAGGTTAGAGAAAACAATAGGGGGGTGCCAACTATTTTTTTTTCTTGCTCATTTTTGAGCAGTGTTTGAAATTATGTCAGATTGGGCTTTTTTCTGTACTTTTTGTGATGTTCCCATATACAAAAATTAACAAAGTTATACCAAAACATGTGCAATTGCAATAACCTTATGGGAAAAACACTGTGGAAAAATTCAGGGGTGCCAACAATTTTCCCCATCAACTGTATATGCCCTTTAAATGTGAAACACTTTTACTCTGCCTGTGTGAAAAGGACCATTCTCTTATTTTAGATTAATTGCAATCCATTCACTTCAAACAAAACCAGCACTATAGTTTTTTTTTTGTTTTTTTTTATATCCCTGTGACTAAATAAAAAAAACCATTACAATGCTCGGGAATGTGGTTCTGTTACAAAAGATACATTCTCATAAAAGAGAAGTTGTGCATAGCAAATCCATGCCAATACTGAAGAAAGACAATCAAGATCAATTGAGATGTACTAATCATCTTCCAAATTCAAAGTACTACTTAGAATAAATCTTTTAGAAGGTTGAAAAAAAGTCTCTCCAAAATAAGAGTCAGGTCCTGTCATAGCCCCATTTGAAAACATTCCTAAATCACCTTGAGTATGAGAGTAAGAAGGGAAGCGCTGATGGCCAGTAGCAATACACTGGACACTGCCCAGGTCAGCCAATAGATGCTGTTCCTCAGGCCCATGATTCTCACAGTCTCCTTCAGCCTCGCCTCTTTCTCAGCGACAATGCCTTTAACAATTATGGCCACAGAATAAACCCACGCTAAGGTCATGAACAGGGGCAGAGAGCTGGCCAGTGATCTGAGGAATCTGAAAGGTGAAGGAGCATTACTGGAAAGGACAGTGACCCTCTTTACACCTGGGTACATTTCCTAATTATCCCACTACCTGCATTATACCCAGGTTCTAAATTCAAATTAAGACTATGGGTCTAAAGACCAATGGAGCTTTTCATAAAACCTCAGATGGATAAAATAATTTATGTATACATTTATTTTGCTCTGTTAAAGAAAATGAGAAGTTTTAAATATTTAGGATCTTCTAATGAGTCCATCTCTTAAAGAAAAACAGACATTGTGAATACTATGACATAGTGACTACATAGTGACTTCTAGACTTAGAGGTGTAAGACCTCCAAATCTACAAATTGCACATTCAGGTTTGTTCTTTTATACTAAGGAAAATTGTGTTGTTTTTTTTCAACTGTGGTTCACAACAAAATATATTTCTTATGTTTAACATCAAAACAAATCTTTAAAAAATGGCAGTCTTTAGAACAAGTTCTGGGATTTCGTGTTAAAGATCAGTTGGTAAACTAGTGAAGGTGACCAGCTTGACACAGACAGGAGCGTTTTTACAAATTTGCTCCAATCAGGAAAAATTTCAACAGCTTTTAAATGAAAAAAATTGAATTCAAATAAAAAGAAGTTAAAAATCAGTAAGCGTTGCTACTAGCTGTTAGCCCAGCAAGCAAACTCAAAAATACCAATTAGGAAAGGGTCTGAAAGTTTCTTAGAGGAACACAGTTAGGCTTAGGCTGATATCCTTCTTGGATCTTAAAGCGAAAA